TTTGTGAAGCAGAAGCAGCTAAATATTTCATCACTGCGTGCAAGTTTTCAAGTTGCCAAGCTAATAGCATGCACTGGCAGACCATTCGTGGAGGGAGAATTTGTTAAAGAATGCCTTCTTTCTGTTGCCAAAGAGTGCCTTCTTTCTGTTGCCAAAGAGATGTGTCCAGAGAAGGCCGATTTATTTAGTACAGTGAGTCTTTTAGGACCTACAATTACACGGAGGATTGAAGAAATGGGAGACAATTTGCATCAGCATTTGCAAAACTCCACAAAAAAACTTTCCTATTTTTCCTTGGCACTCGACGAAAGCAATGATGTTCGTGATTCTGCACAACTTCAAATTTTTATTCGTGCGACGAATGACTATTTCGAAGTCACAGAAGAGCTTGCTGCACTGCAAAGCATCAAAGGAACAACTACAGGAGAGGATATCTTTCGATTTAAAGCTTTCGTGACTGCAGGGATTCATCTTCTTGGTTCTTTCGGTAAAGTCACATAGAAGGGAAGTAATAAAATAATTCTCACGACGTTTCGGCCACAATGCAAGCAGCCGTCCTCAGGTGAAAACCAGGTCTGTTGGGGAGACAGCGTCTGAATGAAACAGCACACGAGCTTGGAGCATATATAAGCTGGGTTGGAAGCGGGGGAAAGAGCGCCTTGACAAAATAATTTCAATATCAAGAGGAATTTAGCATATTTATGGGAAATGCAGGAATGTGATTAGTACTACATATGCCCGTGCTGCATATGTAGTACTAATAACATTCCTGCATGTTATAATTATTTGTCAAGGCGCTCTTTCCTCCATTTCCAACCCAGCTTATATATGCTCCAAGCTCGTGTGCGGTTTCATTCAGACGCTGTCTCCCCGACAGACCTGGCTTTCACCTGAGGACGGCTGCTTGCGTTGTGGCCGAAACGTCGTGAGAATTATTTTATTATGTTTTATTTTTATTATTGTATTACTTCCCTTCTACGTGACTTTACCGAAAGAACCAAGAAGAGAGGATATCTATGAAAAGGTTTGCCAAACTGTGAATGGTTTGGAGCTTAACTGGGCTAAACTAGCCAGTGTGACAACTGATGGTGCTCCTAGCATGGTGGGGTCTAAGAAATGAGTAATTGCTCGCATTAACCAAGAGATGGACAAACATAACCATTCTCATCCAATAGCCATACACTGCCTCATCCACCAACATGCGCTGTGTAGTAAATCACTGAAGTGGGACTCGGTTATGAAATTTGTGGTATCTTGTGTTAATTTCATTAGAGCTCATGCACTAAACCACAGACAATTTCAGGCATTTCTGTCTGAGCTAAATGTTGACTATGAAGATGTTCTGTATCACACAGAAGTCCGTTGGCTGAGTCGAGGGAGAGTTTTGAAACGTTTCTATGACTTACTTCCACAGATTACAGCTTTTCTGCTTTAAAAAAAGAAAGAAGTACCAGAGCTCAATGATGCAGAATGGAAATGGCACCTTGCCTTTCTGACAGATGTAACAGAGCTACTCAACAGTTTCAATGTGCAACTTCAAGGAAAGGGGAAGCTCATCTGTGATATGCAATCACATGTCAAAGCATTTTAAGTAATATTAGGCCTCCTCATCAAACAAGTGAAGGAGGAAAACTTCTGCCATCTCCCCACAACTCAAAATCTGTTAGCGGAAAAAACATTGGTTGCATTCCCAAACAAAACGTGTGGATTCACTGGAAAAATTGCAAAAGGAGTTCCAATTTGTATTTAAAGAGCTTCATCTCCATGAACAGGACATACAGCTTTTCCGTAACCCATTTTCTATTGACATTGAAAATGTGGATACAATTTACCAACTGGAACTGGCTGAACTGCAGAATTGTGACTCTCTGAAAGACGCATTCAAGTCAAGCAGCCTTCATAATTTCTATGCATCTCTCCCCTCTGAGACATATCCTCATCTCAGGAACCATGCACTCAAAATGGCAACCATCTTTGGCAATACTTATGTCTGTGAACAGACTTTTTCCAGAATGAAACATTTGAAATCTCCAACCAGATCTAGACTAATGGATGCACACTTGCATCACTTGTTACGACTAGCAGTGACAAATATGGAACCGGACATTGACCATCTCATTAGCCAAAAGCAGGCCCATAGTTCCCATTGAAATACTGGCAAGTTTGTTGATTTAACTTTACTTGTTCTTCATTTTAAATATTGTATTTATTCCCGTTTGTTTCTTCACGTCAAAATAAGATATATGCAGTGTGCATAGGAATTTGTTCATAGTTTTTTTTTTTACTATAGTCCGGCCCTCTAACGGTCTGAGGGACAGTGAACTGGCCCCCTGTTTAAAAAGTTTGAGGACCCCTGCTCTAGACTGTTGCGCATAGGTAGGCAGAATTATTAAAACACTAAACACATGACCACAAAAGCATTCCGTCCTATGGCCACACATTCTGACATGAGAAGTCCTTGTGGGGATCAGTCCCGTGATATTCTGAAAACGGCCAAATAAGAATACACTTCAAATGCACGGATTGGGTGGACCATCAAGGTCCTGAAGATGTTCTGATCTCCAACTGCTCAGCACTCCCAGGTCCAGGTTGCGCTCTTTTGGTTATCGCTGCTTTCGTTAGCGTGGCACCCAAGCTATGGAACGCCTTGCCACTTGAACTTGGGCAATCAGAGCCGGAAGATATATTTAAGTCTGCTTTGAAAACCCCATCTCTTGAAAGTGGCCTTCACTTTTTAGTTTGGTAGGTTACCCTGATTCTGTTTTTTTTCCTGCATTTCATGCATTGCGCATTGGGATCCGAGGATGGAATGCGCATTATTTAATTTGCATTATGAACACTGGTTTTACACGATTATAAAGTATAGTCCAGCTGTGGCGAGTGAAGCACTGCAACGTTGCGAGTTGAACGAAGCGATGTTGAGAACGTTGTGCGGGCATTGCCTCATATCATGAGGAATGGCTCCGCGGGATACAGAGCTCTCCTATACACAGTATTCAGCTGCTATGTGTTGATATTATGATAGTTGCTTTGCATTTCAGCATTGAGAGCGATGATAGGCTGGATTAAATAAATAGCGTACACAACAATCGACATTAGAGGCTTTTTTTCAAGCAGCGATAGTCCATTGAGCAAAATCCATCAACTCACGCTATTTTATTACATGGTTGAAACAACGGTTAGACGATGAGGTGCTTGAATAGGTTGGTCATTATCTGAGAATGTAAAGAGAGGGAACACCAAAAACAGTGCGTGGAATGGGTTCCACTTGTAGGTATGTTGAACTTCTTTCACACCATACGTAGCCAACAGTACTAATCGGAGGTGTGGGACCTAATCGGATGTGACAGATGAGCATCGGAGAGACCAAGAAAACGATGACAGGACACCAACTAAGAAGACTTCATGGAGGAAGACGCTCTGTCACTGAGAGGATGTTGACATAGAACCAGAGAAAGTAAAGGAACTGGATCACTTAGTGTGCCATTAGGTGATCAAGGGCGACAGCCCAGCTTCGGAACCAGGGTCTCAGCAGTGCTGGATCAGTGAACCGAGATGAGCACGGTGAACTCCTGAAGCAACCCATTCAACCATCTGCCTCCACTGCCTCCTACGTCGTGAGCACGCCAGTGGCCGGAGATTAAATGGGCAGGGGAGGAGAAGCAGGGATGTGTGGATTCACACACGGAGACACAGACAGGAGTGGACAGGTGCATAGAATTCAGGCACAGCCCCTGAACCCATCACTGCAAGCAGCAGCAGCAGCAGCGGCTGCTCCCTGCAGTGATGGACATTCACCCACGTTGGGCAAGCGATCACGGCCACCGCCACATTGCGGCATGAGCAGCAAACAACAAAGTGACAGATGCCAGCGTGCGTTACACTTCACAATATCTATCGAGCTGGAAATATACTGAACGAAGCATATGCAAATGAGATGTGACATATGGTCCATACACGTGAAAGGACGACAAACTAAACTAATTTCATTTTATCAGGTAAGGCCCACTGAGCCATATAGCTCTTTTCATAAGCGACCTGGCCACAAATGATAGCTCAACGAAGTGGCTTATCACGTGGAAATTATAGCAGCAAAATACTCTAAACACATGCTTCTAAATGTGGAGGGATAAACCGGAGGACCAGGAATAAAATCCACGTGACCACGGGGACAGAGACTCGCAAACTCCAAATATACAGCAGGCGCCAGGGTCGGGATCGAACCCATGACCTCCTGCGTAAACAGGCAAGGTAGTTAACACCTCAATACCATGGTGCCCTAATGGAGTAAAACAAAAAAATGTTGATTGAGTAAAATTGGGAGTAAAAAAAACCAAACGAACGTGTACTCTATTAGCAATCACAGTTGTTACACAAAGGCTACAACGCTTGTAATACAAATTATGTGAGCATCAAAGAGAACTCGGGTAAGGATGGCAATTGAGAGCCGACACATTTCTCAAATTAACGCTGTGCTGTGCGAGGAATGAAAGGTGAGACACTGAATTGATGCAGCTGCATGCACTGTGTACGAGACGCGTCAATGTGCAGATCACGTCAGAGAAGTCAAAGGCAGAAATCAAGGCACACATCTCTAAAAAAAACGACTATGAAAGAAGAAGCCGCAGCAAAGTATCAAGGAGCAAACAGAACGACGATGAGAGAGAAATTGACGCGGGTTGCTGAACGTTAAATCGTAAAGCAGGTGGACGACTTTCCACTGGATGACCGCTCAACTCCAAATGGCAGTTCTATTCCAATCTCAGCCAAACTTTGTGCTTTACATATTTGCTATAGACGAATCTACAATACCAGGGTGAGAAATGTGGCTCGGTGTTTCGACACAGACATTAACCACCCTGATCCGACCACCCTCCCACCTAAATGTCCACTTGTTTCGTTTGTTGTCCTTTCCCTGCACCTCCGATCAGCACGATTTGGCGACGTACGGTGCGAAAGAAGTTCAACGTACATACGCACACGTGGTGCGTGGCGCTCACCAGACTGTGGTGTCCGTGTGCTCCTCGCTGTGCTGCCGGTAGTCGAGCTGAGCGAAGAGTGGGAAGAGGACCTGTACTCCGCCAATGGAGTGGATGGCGCTGTGGATCGAGTAGGTGATGATGGCCTTGACATCCTGTGCAGGCAAGACACGCGAGCATGGAGTGCATTCGCTTGTTCAGCTCTTCTGTGCATTCGTCTTCGCTGCGCTTGGACATGACATGACAACAGAATGATCCGCGCCAGGTGGGTCACGGCGTTTATGTGCGCGGTGGGACGGAGTCGCCCTGCCATAAGGTTCATATGAAAAAAGAAAAAACTGGCTCTTGTCAAAGGCATGTGGAAATTCCACCACTGTTTCAGGGCCATGGGTGGACAAATCACAATCCATAATGTTCAGTTAATGGTATAACATTTTTTATATGTATGTCAAACTTGTATCTTTGAACCATGGTTAGATATGCTGTTTACGAGTGCGTGGAGCTGCACTCTGCTCAATGATCCAGGCGAAGACGTTCTGATGGCACGATGACATGCGGGGTGAGAGCCCCCATCTTTTAGTGTTATGGAGAAGAGGTGAACTGGTATCTCGTGAATCTTGTCTGGCATAATGCAGACGAGTGAAGTACCTACAATTCTCTGATTAGGAAGACGAGTGGAAAATACCAGGAGGCAGATTCAAAATATACATATTTTTTACATCATTTTTGGAGCCTGCAGCAATCATATGGTGAGATGAATGCATTGGACAGTCAAGAAAATTTACTGAAAACGCAAACCACGGCTTTTTATTTAATCATGTGCAATTGTGCAGTGCAGGAGCATTCAGATATAAGCGAGCAATCAAGAGAATTACATAATTCCACGTGTGAAAAGGTGACGCCTGTGAGAAATATCAATTCACTGCATCCTTCTGCTGGTTGGTCTTCATTTCCCTCTGCTATAATCTCTCATATCATTGCTTTTGTGCTTCCCACCACGTATTATTTTCTGGGCGATTGCCTCGCCAGATTATCCGAAAACAGGAGACAGTTCAACCATGTGACAGAGGTTTAAGTCCATTTTTCAAAAGCCCCGTTTCAATGGACTGCGTTTTTTGTGTTGTGCTCCAGTTAGATGTGCATCGGACATGGATTTCAAAATAAATTTTATTAACTGACTGAATGGTAGTATATACACAAGGCTACCAACAAGTTTTTGACAAATACAGGAATGTATAAAAAAAAAATCGAAAAAATTACAAGGAGAACAATGGAAGAATGGCAGTTTTGCAGAAAGAAATGCAACAATCTTCGGGATCATCGATGGCAATGATAGGGCATCTTTCGTTATGAATCAGGCTCGGTGACACAGCCCAGCGGCAGCGCAGTCGCCGTTTGTTGCAGAGGTTGACGGTTCGATTCCAGCAGCCGCCCTGGTGATTGCTGCGGGTGGAATCACCGTGATGGTGCTACGCACCGTCCACTTCACTTCACAGTGGACGTTAAAACTCCTGGCGATGTCATTCACAAGAGTAGGCCACCGTGTCCCGGTGTCAGGGTCCACAAAATGTGCCAAATTTAAAAATGACCCGCAAATCTCTCGATTGGGATTAGACAGTACGCAGCAATCATGGCCCACTGCTGGCAGACCACCAACGCCCCAGGTCGCTCTTACAAGACGAAACCATGCCGACCCCTTTTGAGATCTCACCCGCACCGAAACGAAACGAAGCCGAACTTTACATTTCACGGCACGGCAGGCAAATAGCCTCTGGAGCGGCCACACGGGTGCTCACCTGCAGCATGAGCGCGTGGGGGGAGTGCACGAAGATGGAGGCGTTGTCCCGAGGGGATGACTCCAGGCAGAGCTGTGCGTCGGTGGCCGTGGGGTTGTAGGTGAACACGATGCTGCTGGCCAGCTTGCCGTCGTACAGCACCTGCTTGTGATGCTCAGCCAGCAGGATGTCGCTCTCGGATTTGAACTTGAAAGTGCTCTGAAATATATATGGGGCAAGGTGGGGGGGGAATAAAAACACATGCACAGCGATAAATATTTTTAAAATAATTTGCCTTTTTTAAAATCCTTTATATTAAGTTCGCTTGCTTGCTTGCTTGCGTGCTTGCTTGCTTGCTTACGACCGTGCAAATCTTTCGGTCGTTTTTTAACCCACTTCCCGTGATCCAATCGAGCTGACATTTTGCACACCGACTCGTTGTGCGAGACAATTAATTTTCGTGAAAAAAAATCCCAAAATTTTACACTGTTTAGGGAAAACAAATTAAATATTTAATTACCAATTGCTTAATACTGGCAGACAATCATCTGACCCATAGGTGGCAGCCATCTCAAGCCAGAGGACGAGAGGACTCTAGCCGCCACGCATATAAAGGATTTAGAGTCAAAAACTTTGTTTTTACGGGTTATACTTATTTCATACGAGTAATGCTGTCAGCATCACGTCCTCAGACAAAGTATACATTGGGAACTGTCAAGGAGCAGTCTGCCGCCCCGGGTGTTAGAGACCATCCCTGCAAGAGGAGACATCGTAGAATATATATCCACATATCGACACTAGGAGGGGCACATGGTTCGACTGTTACGTTCGTTGTTTGACAGTCAACCTGAACTGAAACTTCACCATATTCAGTGAAAAACCAAATTAAATATGATGGTATTTTCGTGCAGTCAGTCATGACTGGACCAAGACCATTAACTCATCACATTTGAGAATCCAGTTTAATTCTACTGTAGATGTATACCAGGATCTAAGTGGTTGGCTTAGTGCTCCGCACACTGAGATACCTGATGAAGAATCACTAATTGCCTTGGCTGCCTGGACAGGTGGCACTTTGGTTTGGAGCTCTTGCCTTTTAAGAGGAAAGCCACAAATTGAAATCCAACTCGGGGGTTTATGAAAACGAATACCACTCTGTTGGTTGCCATTAATGATATTTTTAAAGACAAAGACTGATCTCTGCCATCGGACGATGGCATTCCCACCATTCTCTCAGGAGCACCATAGGAGGAGAGTAATGTCCAATACATATTTGAGCATCGAATCACTTTTTTTGGGATATGAATTGGCTTCATTAATAACACAAATTGAATAGAAAAGTAATCATTTGAATAACCATAATACCACTCGACACAGCCGATTAGTAAGATTTATCACGAAAACAAAACATGCCAATTAGTTACTAGTTCAGCACACCGGTGTGTTGGAGAGCAAACCCACAATACTTTACAATTCGAGTACAACACATTAATATTGACGCGATCTAACCAAAAAAAACCCTCTTATGGATAATATTGGTCGCAAAAGTCTACTACGTGTTAAATTTGAAAAACATTGTCAAATACTTAGGTGTAATCAAATGAGCCTGAGTAGCATTTTATTGGGTGGCCAATGCTAATAAAGCCACGACCTATACAATCTGGAACAAAGGAATCTTGCTTGAATGACAGGCTTAAACGAATCATTCTGCGCTCTTAACTATTATTTGGCCTTTTTCAAAAGCTTCTTGATAGTATTAAATTAGCTTTGCGACAAAGATGGGCAAGTAGGAGCTAAGTATTCGAGCCTTATAAAGCTAATGAGGGGGCATTATGCAGGTGGGTTGGAAGCCAGTAAATGGATCTGATACAACAGGATACACGGTTATAAATTACATGAGCTGTTTTAAATTACTGCTGAACTGCTAAAGCAGGAAAGACAAACACCCTTTCGCACTTGTGAATGATCTAACTCGGCTGTGCGGGGGCAAGTGGAACCAGGCGAGACGTTGATTAATGTTCCTTTTATTTACAACTTAACATTCATTTAGCATGCTTGAAATGAATTAACTCATGACTGCAGCGTTCTATACGGTACTGATAAACAAGTTGAACTTTAAATAGAACAAGTGATCAAGTATCTCCATGCTCAAAAGATTGGTTATTTGCTGATAATCTCCATTGGCTGCACCCTGAGCAGGTCACGGACATGTCACATTGCTATGGCGGGGACGAGTCCGTTAACCCTTTCCCATTCCGATGACGTAAGTGTACATCATCATTTTTTTCTGGAACGAAATTGGACGAAAAACTAAAATAAAATAATTCTATCAGTATGACTTCAGGTCAGAAGACATACCGAGGCTCCCACAAGGCCACGCGGAAGGGGGTGTGGCACAGTTTGGCGCCAGCTATCATAGAGTGCGGTTATGTCACAACAGTTATCTGCGGAAAGTACAATCTCTTTTAAAACAACGGAGCTATGCCTCTCGAAGTTAAATTAATGCTACCGCTTGCACATTCCAAGATTTAGTGGTGAACATGACTCCCACCTAGCAACTTGCAGATGTCTCGGAATACTGTTGCCTTCAGTGACTCTGGAGAAAGGATGGAATAGGCTGGGTAGATTCACAACCAGGATTTAACGTGCGATATTTTGTTCGTGTGTTGACCACTCTGTGACAAGCTTCCACCCACCCAAGAAAATACCAACTCAAGTCCACTTTAAGCAAAACCAATTATCCCACGATTTGTAGATGTCTCAAATGTTGGCCAGAGGGTGACAGGGTTTGTTGAAATAATTAGGCAAATAGTCAAAAACTGAGAGTCAACCAGGTCTCAAACAAAATCGGAGATACATTGTGTATAGTTATAAATTAAATTTTAGGTATAATAAGTTACATAAAACTTTACTGGTATACTAAGATTCACCATTTGTCATTATTAGATAGAGAATGTGATTGTTTTTGCTGCTTCGACCATTTGACAAATTGCTTATTTTCTGCAGTTGTTCAAGGGATTTGAGAAGCAGCTACATCTTCATATTTTAAAATGAGTAAATCTCAAAATCCACCAACAGTGGATGAGTACAGAAGCACAAACCACAGAAATCTCCTCTTTAGCCTCAAGTGTGGGTGCAAGTACGATTTTTGGTCACGAATTAAAGCTGACATTGCAAACAACTGAACTAAACCATGAACTAAACTATTTTTATTTTACCAGGTAAGGCCCAGCTCTTTATTTTACCAAGTAAGGCCCAGCTCTTTTTCAGAAGCAACCCGGCCACAAATTATAGCGCAACGAAGTGGCTTATCGCGTGGAAATGTTTCGCGGTGAAATACTCTAAACGCACGTTTCTAAATGTGAAGGGAAGAACCAGAGAGCCAGGAGAAAAAATCGACGCAACAACGGGGAGAACATGCAAACGCCAAACATACAACAGGTATCAGGGGTTGGAATCACAACCCTGAAGGCGTGAGTGGTGCGGCGTGCAGTAGACCCAACCACTTTTATATCCCAAACCTTCATGTGTACTCTAATAGGTACTCGTTTAAGGCTTTGTCAACCTCGGGAAGACACAGGATATTGGTGCTTTGTAGCGAACCCACTCTCCATGTATTACAGACACATGCTTGGGAAGCATTTATTTTTTACTCCCATTTCACTTTGGGTACACACTGCAGTATGACGCAACTCTGTTATATCAGAGCCTTGAGCACTGCTTCGGAACCACGAGCATATCTGATAAATGGAGTTATTTTAGAAGATCACCAAAGTAAGGGGCAATTTTCCCTCTGTTTGTCTTTTACACTGCATACTTCTCAAAAGTGAGAACAACACACTGGTGTTCAGAGTTTACTCTTGCAAGGCTTCGATTTAAAGCTTTCGTGACTGCAGGGATTCATCTTCTTGGTTCTTTCGGTAAAGTCACTTCAGCTGCCGCTATGTCGACTAAATGTAAGGACAACTTGATTTCCAAATTCAACCGCCTCTCAAACAAGAAACCGGACCCACACATTGAAAAGCTAGATGTTAACAAAGTCGTAATTAATCGCAGTAACAGTCCTATTTCTGAAGGTTTGAAATCCGTTTTAGCTAAAGGACTAAACTTTGCAGTCACACCTAGACACATACCAGTTAATGATATAATTGCTCGAGTAGATGTAGCTCTCAAGGGCTTGAGTCACATCGCTGCAGACGTAGCAAGATCTGAAATCTCTGTAACCCTCAAAAACGCTAAGATGCCAGCTAGCAACATCAGCAAAGATGAGCGTTTTGAATTAGCTCAATTAAAAAAGAGGGATGACATTGTCATCCTCTCAGCCGACAAAGGCAATGCCACTGTCATCATGGACAAAATAGAATACAACAACAAAATTCAAGAACTACTCAACGATGGCAGCTATACAAAAATAAAAAGAGACCCCACCAACAGCCTCGTCTCCAAAACCAACAACATCATTTCTGCTTCAACCGCATTAATTGATCAGACCAAACAGTTCTCGTTGAAACCTTCTGCAGCCAGGCCACCAAGATTGTACGGCTTGCCAAAGATACATAAAGAAGATAAACCTCTTCGTCCCATTGTCTCTACTATCAACTCCCCCACTTACAAACTGGCTCGTTTTTTGTCCGAAATCCTACGGCCTTTCACTGGAAAAACCACCTCTGCAGTACTAAACTCTACTGACCTGGTATCGACAATCAAGGGGATTGCCCTGTCCCCAGACGACCTGCTTGTCAGTTTTGATGTGGTTTCCTTGTTCACCAAGGTGCCTGTGCCTGACACCATCGCAATCATTGAAGACTTGGTTCATCAAGGACTGAATGCTGGGGTACCCCCCCTGGTGAGACACTGCTTAACCAATACATACTTCACCTGGAATGGAACCTTCTACAAGCAAATTGAGGGCACCCCAATGGGCTCCCCCCTATCTCCGGTTGTAGCCAACATCTTCATGGAGAAATTTGAGACGGACGCCATCCAGACTGCCACTCTACGCCCGACCTTATGGAAGAGGTACGTAGACGACACTTTTGTCATTTGGCCACATGGCCGGCCTGCTCTAGACCAATTTCTCGACCACATCAATTCCATACACCCAGCCATCAGATTCACCATGGAAGTCGAAAATGATGGCAAGCTACCCTTTTTGGATGTCCTAATCAAAAGGAGACCTGATGGTTCAATGAGCCACTCTGTCTACAGGAAAGCCACCC